CTGTTAGTAGGCAGATTCTAGCTCATTTTGGGAGTCCCTGAAGGACCTTATGGGAAATTGGCGGCAAGAGCTCCTCTCCCCCCACAGCAGAAAGCGCCATCCGCCCTGAGAGACTCCAGGAGGGGGTGGCCCCATCCATTGCCCTGAGAATTCTCCTTCAGGGATCTCAGAGAATTAGGGGGTCTGTAGACGGCCTGTTAGTAGGCAGGTTCCAGCTCATTTGGGGAGTCCATGAAGGACTCTGGGAATTTGGCGGGAAGAGCTCCCCTCCTCCACAGCAGAATAAGTGCCTCAGAGCCCGGCCCCTGCCTTCAGCCCTGGGAGACCCCACGTAGGGATACCACGCACACCATCAGACAGGGGCCCCAGAGCATTACACTCGCAGGGTGGCCCGGGGCAGGAGGAGCCGGGAGCACGGCGCATTTACTTCCCCCTCTGGTGACTGTAGTAGGTGAGAAGGAGTGCGGCCTGTCAGCGGAGAGAGGAATCCAGTCTCTGCCACGGATAAGGTAAGGGTACTGAGTAAGGTTGGAGGGAACCCCCATCCCAAGGGACGGGAGGCCCCACAGTCCCACCCCGCGTCAGCCCTGAAGGTTCCAGGCGGGGGTGGTCCCATCCACTGCCCTGAGAATTCTCCTTCTGGATCGAGGAGAATTGGGGGGTCGGTAGGCATAAGGTCAGCAGGCGGATTCCAGCTCATTTGGGGTGTCCCTGAAGGACCTTATGGGAAATTGGCGGGAAGAGCTCCTCTCCCCCACAGCAGAAAGCGCCATTGGCCCTGAGAGACTCCAGGCAGGGAGGGCCCCATCCATTGCCTTGAGAATTCTCCTTCTGGGATCGCAGAGAATTGGGGGGTCGGTAGGCATCAGGTCAGCAGGTGGATTCCAGCTCATTTGGGGAGTCCCTGAAGGACCTTATGGGAAATTGGCGGGAAGAACTCCCCGTCCCCATAACAGAGGAAGCGCCAGGGAGGACGTCGTCCGCCATCGGCCCTGAGAGACTCCAGGTGGGGGTGGCCCCGTACATTGCCCTGAGAATTTCGTCTGGGATCTCAGAGAATTAGGGGCCCATAGACGCCCTGTTAGTAGGCAGATTCTAGCTCATTTTGGGAGTCCCTGAAGGACCTTATGGGAAATTGGCGGCAAGAGCTCCTCTCCCCCCACAGCAGAAAGCGCCATCCGCCCTGAGAGACTCCAGGAGGGGGTGGCCCCATCCATTGCCCTGAGAATTCTCCTTCAGGGATCTCAGAGAATTAGGGGGTCTGTAGACGGCCTGTTAGTAGGCAGGTTCCAGCTCATTTGGGGAGTCCATGAAGGACTCTGGGAATTTGGCGGGAAGAGCTCCCCTCCTCCACAGCAGAATAAGTGCCTCAGAGCCCGGCCCCTGCCTTCAGCCCTGGGAGACCCCACGTAGGGATACCACGCACACCATCAGACAGGGGCCCCAGAGCATTACACTCGCAGGGTGGCCCGGGGCAGGAGGAGCCGGGAGCACGGCGCATTTACTTCCCCCTCTGGTGACTGTAGTAGGTGAGAAGGAGTGCGGCCTGTCAGCGGAGAGAGGAATCCAGTCTCTGCCACGGATAAGGTAAGGGTACTGAGTAAGGTTGGAGGGAACCCCCATCCCAAGGGACGGGAGGCCCCACAGTCCCACCCCGCGTCAGCCCTGAAGGTTCCAGGCGGGGGTGGTCCCATCCACTGCCCTGAGAATTCTCCTTCTGGATCGAGGAGAATTGGGGGGTCGGTAGGCATAAGGTCAGCAGGCGGATTCCAGCTCATTTGGGGTGTCCCTGAAGGACCTTATGGGAAATTGGCGGGAAGAGCTCCTCTCCCCCACAGCAGAAAGCGCCATTGGCCCTGAGAGACTCCAGGCAGGGAGGGCCCCATCCATTGCCTTGAGAATTCTCCTTCTGGGATCGCAGAGAATTGGGGGGTCGGTAGGCATCAGGTCAGCAGGTGGATTCCAGCTCATTTGGGGAGTCCCTGAAGGACCTTATGGGAAATTGGCGGGAAGAACTCCCCGTCCCCATAACAGAGGAAGCGCCAGGGAGGACGTCGTCCGCCATCGGCCCTGAGAGACTCCAGGTGGGGGTGGCCCCGTACATTGCCCTGAGAATTTCGTCTGGGATCTCAGAGAATTAGGGGCCCATAGACGCCCTGTTAGTAGGCAGATTCTAGCTCATTTTGGGAGTCCCTGAAGGACCTTATGGGAAATTGGCGGCAAGAGCTCCTCTCCCCCCACAGCAGAAAGCGCCATCCGCCCTGAGAGACTCCAGGAGGGGGTGGCCCCATCCATTGCCCTGAGAATTCTCCTTCAGGGATCTCAGAGAATTAGGGGGTCTGTAGACGGCCTGTTAGTAGGCAGGTTCCAGCTCATTTGGGGAGTCCATGAAGGACTCTGGGAATTTGGCGGGAAGAGCTCCCCTCCTCCACAGCAGAATAAGTGCCTCAGAGCCCGGCCCCTGCCTTCAGCCCTGGGAGACCCCACGTAGGGATACCACGCACACCATCAGACAGGGGCCCCAGAGCATTACACTTGCAGGGTGGCCCGGGGCAGGAGGAGCCGGGAGCACGGCGCATTTACTTCCCCCTCTGGTGACTGTAGTAGGTGAGAAGGAGTGCGGCCTGTCAGCGGAGAGAGGAATCCAGTCTCTGCCACGGATAAGGTAAGGGTACTGAGTAAGGTTGGAGGGAACCCCCATCCAAAGGGACAGGAGGCCCCACAGTCCCACCCCGCGTCAGCTCTGTAAGTTTCCAGGCAGGGAGGGCCCCATCCATTGCCTTGAGAATTCTCCTTCTGGGATCGCAGAGAATTGGGGGGTCGGTAGGCATAAGGTCAGCAGGTGGATTCCAGCTCATTTGGGGAGTCCCTGAAGGACCTTATGGGAAATTGGCGGGAAGAGCTTCTCTCCCCCACGGTGGAGGGAGTGCCAGGGAGCCTGGTGCCCGTCATCGGCCCTGAGACTCCAGGCGGGGGTGGCTGAAAGTGGCACACCTGACTTCCCGGGCTCGTTGCTCCAGGGGGCGAAGAGAATATTTGAGCAGTATTTCTGCCTCAGGCCATGCCCCGCCTTTCCGCATAGCAGAGCCCGGCCCCTGCCTTTAACCCTGCGGGACCTCACGTAGGGATACCACCCACACCATCTGACAGGGCGCCCGGGAGCATTACGCTCCCACGGTGGCCCCTGAATGAAGGGCCCAAACTGGTGGTGCATTTACTTCCATTTCGGGCGACTGTAGTAGGTGAGAAGGAACGAGTTCCATTATCAGAGAGAGGAATCCAGTCTCTGCCACGGATAAGGTAAGGATACTCGGTAAGGTTGGAGGGAACCCCCATCCCAAGGGACGGGAGTCCCCACAGTCCCACCCCGCCATCAGTCCTATAAGTCCATGAAGGCACTTATGGGAATTTGGTGGGAAGAGCTCTCCTCCCCCATAACAGAGGAAGTCTCAGGGAGCCCTGACCCTGCCTTCATCTCGGAGACCCGCGGGAGGGGGGTGGGGGCTGGAAGTAACACACCTGACTTTCCCAGGGGGTGAGGAGGATTTTCACCAAGGGGTCTGCCCCCTGCCAGGCTCTACTCTTATATTTGCGTTCTGGAGGAAACCTCCCCTCCAACATGGTGGAGGGCCTACAAAGTGTGGATCTTGATGTCAGCCCTGGGAGACTCCTGCCATAGCTATAAGGCCCATTTGCTCTCTTGCTTCACCTTTAATGAGGTTGGGTGTGTGGGGGGAGACGGGTACATAAAAGCCTTGGTCTAAGGCTAGACAATTTAGGTTAGCAGAAGGAGGAGTCCTAAGGGTAGTTTGAGTTTAGTTCAGAATTTTAGTAAGGACTGAAGTGAATTCCTCTTTTAGGGCAAGGGAGCCCCACAGAGCGGGACCCCTGCTATAAGCCCTGGTGTCCCCTTAAGCAGGGCTGCCAGGGTAAGATGCCCCTTACTTTATCCTTAGTAGTCACAGGGAGATGAGGATCCAATTAAAAGGAGGTTACTCTGGCCATTCTAGATGCTAAAGTGAGGACTGAGGGTGGTACATAGAGTCAGGCCCTTCCTCTGTGGTAAGCCGTGGGGAGATAAGCCATTCTGATCCCCCATCTCCGCATATTCCAGAATATCAGGTGCATGAGAGCCTTGGTCTGATTGCTCTAAGCCTCAAGTCTGCAGAAGGGAAGATACTAGGCAGTCAAGTGAAGAAGCCACATAAGCAACATAAGGATTGAGGGGACCACTCGTCACAGAACAGAAGGTATTTCACATAGCCCTACATGTGATATCCCTGGCGGGGTCCCTGGGGAAGATATGTAAAACTGAGGCCTTCCTAAACTTCGCCCCCGGACTTTCAGGAATATGATGGCCTTGGTCCAAGGGGATAAATCTAAGGCTAGCTGAGGGAGCAGTCCAAGGTCCTGCAAGAAACCAACGTGAGGGCTCTGAGCGGGGACTCAAATTAATTCAGGATGGAGAGGGTCACACAGAGCTCTGCCATTGCCGTCATCCCAGGATATCCCTGGGCAGGTGTGCTCAGATGAGGTACCCCTCAGTTCCTCATCCAGGGTGTCAGGGAGGTGAGGGCTTTGGAATGAGGGGTCAGCATCAAAGTAGTTCAATAGAGAGAGCACCACAGATCCTGCTGAAGTGGAGGTAATGGCCCTGAATGTAGACTGAGAAAAACACCTGCCACTCAAGAACAGGGGAGGCTCCACAGGGCCTGAACTTGTCAGACACGGTATCAGCTCCAGTAAGGCCCAGGTAGGGCTGGAAAACTGCAGCCGAAGGCAAACTCCAGTCACCCTCACAGAGTCCTGAGGGGAAAGGTGGCTCAGAGAAGAGGAGCCTGGAGGGTTCCTAGAGCAGTGCCCTCAAGTCAACCTGCAGAGATAGCTGTCAATAAAGCCCCAGGCGGTATCTCCCTGCAAAGGGTATCACACCATTTCATCTTTCCTCCAGGTCACCTTCTTTCCCACACTAGTGCTTGCTGTCCCTGACCAGAGTCATCATGCCTCGGGGACAGAAGAGTAAGCTTCGTGCCCGTGAGAAACGCCGCCAGGCCCGAAAAGACGCCAGGGATCCAGTGGGTGCTCAGGCCACTGTACCAGAGGAAGAAGAATCCCCTTCTCCCACATCTTCTGGTTTCGAAGATGATCCTCAGAGTTCACCTGCCACTGGAACACCCAGCAATCCTGAAGTGCTTGAGGGAGTCCACTCCACCACTGCTAGTGCTGCAGCTGTTTCAAGCACAAGATTTGTTGAAGTTGCCGACAGTCAAGTGGAGGAAATGCTAAATGCCTTACATGTCGATGATGTCACTGAGCCCTGGTACAGAGACCCTCTGGATGAAAAGGTGATTGTGTTGGTGCACTACCTGCTGTACAAGTATCAAAGGAAAGAGCCCGTTACCAAAGTAGATATGCTGAAAAATGTAGTCCAGACGTACAAGCATAACTTCCATGAGATCCTCAAGAGAGCTTCTGAGCACTTGGAGCTGGTCTTTGGCCTTGATATGAAGGAAATGGATCCCAACAGGAACACCTATGTCCTCATCAACAAACTCGAACTAAGCTGTGATTCAAGAGAATACAGAGGTGTGCCCAAGACTGGTGTGCTGATGACTATCCTGGGCGTGATCTTCATGGCAGACAACTGCGCCACTGAAGAGGAAGTCTGGCAAGTGCTGAATATAATGGGGCTACATGCTGGGAGGAAGCACTTCATCTTTGGGGATCCCAAGAAGCTCATCACAGAAAATTTGGTGAAAGAAGATTACCTGGTTTACCGCCAGGTGCCTGACAGTGATCCTCCAGGCTACGAGTTCCTGTGGGGCTCAAGAGCCCACGCTGAAACCAGCAAGATGAAAGTCCTGGAGTTTGTGGCCAAGATTAATCACACCGTCCCCAGTGCCTTCCCACGCCATTATGAAGAGGCTCTGAGAGACGAGGAAGAGAGAGCCCAGGCCAGATCCACAGCTAGGGCTCGTAATGCTGCCAAGGCCAGCGCGCGCTCCAAGGCTGTGGCCACCAGCTTCTCCTTCCCCAAGTGAATGCTGAGGAAGGTTATTCACCATGTGTTTGAGGAGAACAGCTAATGTTCTCATTAGTGGAAGGGTTGGGGTCGGTCTAGAGACAAGGCAGTTTATAACATGTTTGTGTTTCCTGTTCTATGTAATAACTTGGACATTTGTCTAAATGTTGCTCTTTTTAATAGAAGGTTTAACTAACTTCTGAATCTGAGTTAATGACTGATATGTCACACATTTATTGATGTTTATGAATTTTAAGAGTATGAGTTTTACTATTTTAGTATGTCAACTATTAAAATAAATTTTAACAAAATGAAAAAATTATTAAATCCTTTTCTTACTTGGGAAAGGATATTATGATTTAGAATTTTCTCAGTACCTCATGCATCTTATAATTACCCTAATAATACATTTTTGCATTCTCTTACCACTTATAGTCTGTTGTTCTGTAATATTAAGTGATATATTCTTGGATGTGCTTAGATTATTCAAGAATGTTAACCTAATTTCATCATAATAAATTAGATTTCTTGCATACTGTCTCATTTATTTGTCAAACATTCCTTGAGCATCTGCTCTTTGGGAGGCTTCGTGCTACTTCTGGGTCAGGATCAACAAGATCCACCATGCCCATGTTACAGTCCAGGAGGAGCTGTCAGATTAGGAAGACTAAGGACAAGTCCAGAGAAGGAGAGAGGAAATTGGAGCATCTAGATGTGAGCAGTCAAGTGTAAGTGCCCAGAGGCAAGTGGGTTTGGGGCCTTGAGAAACTGTGAGTCTTGGTGTGCGTCAGTTTTATGTTAAGCTGGGTGGTGGTTCAGGTGAGGAGGCTGTGGAAGAGATGGGCCATGGCCAGTCCCTTCGAAGGTGAATCCAGAGTTGAGAGACTAAAGCCTGGAATGGGAAACTGCTTCTAGCAGTCACTTAAAGGTCATAAATTAACCAGTGAGAAATTTCCAGGGAGAGAGGAATGGGATGTGTCTTGTTCTTTTGCCCCAGTGCAGGTGAAAGTCCACAAACTATGTATTTTAAGATACGTTCCCTCCACAGAGCATCTGAGAAGTAACGGTGATACTGCCTTAACATGTGATGCCCAAATGCCACCCTGCTGGCCCTTTTTGCCTTGGGCTATAAAAGACAGAGCTCACTGTTTTATAGGGCATTTAAATTAGGTTATCTTGAGTGTAATTGGCAAACTGAAAGTGAGGGATAGATGTTTTGATGAGTGAACCAGTTGGCACTTGACTCATTTTACAGGAGCCTTGTATGTATCCCTTGGGAAGTTTTTCTTAATTGCTTATAAACTATTTTAAAATGTTCTTTAGCAAGTTACTTAATTTACTTGGTAAGAAGCATTTTGGTTGTGTTGGTGTGGTGTATCCTACAGGGCTGTATGTTGTCTGATATCTTCAGGATAAAAATAATTTAAAACTTCCAAGACGTGAGATTGGTGGTGTTTGAGGTTAGAATTGTAATACTAATAACTGCTAATTATCAAAGACCCAATACATGCCAGTCACTGGACCAGGTGCCTTCCATAAATTAATTACACTCCAGCAGCCTGACTTCACAAGATATACATGAGCCAGGGAGCAAGATGGCTGGACCAAGCCCATTTCAGATGACGAACCCGACGCACACATAGCTTTACAACTTTCATGAGTTCACGTTGCTCCTAAGAGAAGCCTGAAAACAAAGCCCTGGTCTGATACTTCTAGAGCCCACACTGCTCCACTCCTCCCGTCTTAAGGTGGACTTGTGTATTAATTCATTTCTCTTCTCCTTACTCCACAGTGTTTCTCAGGCAGTGAAAAGAAGGACCTTGGGCTAAAGTACTAAGAGGAGGCCTAAAGAATGAAGGTGAACACTGGCTGGTGTGGTTCAGCGGTTAGAGGGCCAGCCCATGTACACAAGGGTTGTGGGTTTGATTCCTGGTCAAGGGCCCATACCTGGGTTTCAGATTCAATCCCTAACCCTGGTCAGAGCGTGTTCTAGAGGCAACCAATCCATGTGTCTCTTTCACATTGATGTTTCTCTCTCTCTCTCTCTTCCTCTCTCTCCCCCTCTCTCCATCCTTTGCACTCTCTAAAAATCAGTGGAATAATTATACTACAGTGAGGATTAAAAACCCCCACAATTCAGGGATTGTCTGCGGGTTCATTTACCTGGGGTTCTCCTGCCCCGCCCCCCACGGCCCCCTGAGAGCTCGCTCTGCCCTGGGCCCAGCACAGGTGCCCAGCCCAGCCCTCTCCTGCGTGACAGCGCCCTTCCCTGGGTCCTCCCCAGGGCGCCTCCTGTCCAGACTGGAGCCTGT